TTTTGTGTTGTTGTAGACAGGGAACATTAGACACTAATTAGTATCATTATATTGGTTTGAACGATGTTGTGTTGTCGTAGAGAGGGAATAGTAGGCAATACTTAGCATCATTGTCTGGGTTTGAGCAGGCCTGCGTCGTCGTGGACCAGGGATAATAAGTAATACTCACTATCATTAATCTTGGTTTGAGCGGCTGTGGCATACAAGACTTGTCTAAAAAGTACAAGAAGAGGCTTCGAGGTAGGTTTTGGAAGGGGGGGGTAGCATATATATGTATATATACACAAGTAAATACACCCATATACGTGTACATATATATATGTATATATACACACACACATACATACATACATACATGCATGCATGCATACATGCAAATAATATGCTACCCCTACTCCAAATTCTTGGACTACATTTTTTTAAGGAATCCTTTTTGATGTATTGGTAGTTATTCCGCTCTCCCTCCTCGTCACATAGCCAAAATGTTGGTCCTACATCGAAGTTTGGTTCACATACGCATACGCAATGCAGTTTTTTCTGATCAGGACCGCCATCGTAATGTGCATCATCGTCATCATCATCATCGTCGTCATCATCGTCATCAGGAACTATCAAGACCGTCATCACGATCTGTATCATCACCGACATTTCCCAACTAGACTCGCGATTTGAGCTCTTATGTCAAATGTTTGTTCACATCGGAAGCCGGAAGGGTTCTTTCACTGTGTGATGTGTATGTTCTAAACTCATGAATGATATTGTTTATTTGGAAGTCCAGGTTGATGAAGGTTTTCTTATTTCCTCAGCAGATGTTATCATGATACCCAAGAAGCAAGCAACTGAGAATCCCTTTTTGAGTCAGTAGTGTTTAAGGTTCCATATTTACATGTATTTACCGTCTGTTTCGGTATTCTAAATAAGCATACAGTTAGGACTGCTTGTGCAAGTCTTCGGCTGCTACCTCAGTACCGCTTACAGGTAGCGAGTTCAAGATGTGAAGAGGGTCCAATGTCCTCTAATTCTCATTCTAAACACAAAATTCGTTTATACTAGTGGCCACTCGATGCGAATTCAATATTTGTGTTACTTGGCACACATTCAATATTCCATGTGGGCAGACGAACCACATGGTCAATGGTTCACGTTCATATGCTCAGAAGCTGGCTAATGTTGACAGTTTGCTCAATGATAACCAATGCGAAGACATGCTAAAACAGCTAGTATACAAAGACCGTTTTATGAAACTTAACCATAAAAAGGATGATGTTTGACCAGTGTTCACTTGAGGCTATCTTCAGTCAGCTAGTCGTTCCGTGATGTTTCAGCCAATGTGCAGGCAGTGCTGCTAGAGTTGTCGGTTGCAGCGCTTGACGCTGTGCTTTGAGACTTCACTGGGGCTCCCGCAGCGGCAGTGGCATGTTAGATGCAGAAAACCCTGTGCGATTCAAACGCGCAGTACTGATGCAGTGAAATGTTGTGATGGCAGCATCATTGAAGACGTTTTTGGTTTTGGTCATTATTGTTGTCTCCTTGTCGATCGAACCCTCCGGTAAGGCTTAGCTACTACGTCTTGTACGATTGTCTACCTAGGTATCACTACTGCAGTGACTTACAACCAAGGTTCATCAAGATTGAACCATATTGAACCTTCTAAACGGCCATAGAACAAGTCTTGCTGAACGAACGCTTGAAATCACTTAAGTGCTATGTGGGTCATGCCTGGTCATCAAGCATGTGCGCTCGGAAATAGCACATCCTGTGAAATAGCCATCGTTATTGCAGCCGAACATGTACATATTATATTGAAGTTACAGTGGCTGGCTGGTATTGAACTTTTGGAGTACTGGAAGTTCGGCTTTGTGGAATTGCGGTGTTTTTGATGTCGAGGTGTTTGAAATTTTGGACATGTGGGCTTGTGGATTGTGGAAGTTTGTTTTTCCTGGAATTTCGGATTATTGGAGTTATGGTGACCATTATGGTGTATTGGGTTTTTGCAACAGGATAAGGCGGCGCAAAGCTTCCAAGTCCTCGCAGACGAAGCATTTCGATCCGAGGCCTGCCACGCGACCAATATACTGTAGGGTTTAACGACGATTGATGGAGGGTGTGCATAAGGGTTCCATCGGCTTTTTAAAAAGGGCAGCATAGGGTTTAGCAGCTGCGCGCTGCAAGAGTTGTAGGTTCGGTTTGGGCTCTTCTTAGGTTGCGGGTGCTTGGAAGGTCGCAATACAGCATTTGTTTTGGGACTGACCCCGTGTTGCAAGTGTAAGTCCTGGTTGAACTCACTTGGAGGACTTAAACCTTGAAGATGTATTCTCCTGGTTCAAGGCTGCATTCGTCAAGATTTTAGTTCGACGGATGCAGGGCTGAAGGCTTTAAATAGGAGACCGGGTAGAAGACATGGCAGAATCGATTCCGCCTCGCTGAGCGATTGGGGTCAATTTCTGTGCTGGCAGAACAGGTCCGCGAATTCTTCCTGACCCTCCCCATGGCCTTGGAGCGGGAGGACGGACATCTTTCCTGCAAGAATGCTCGTTGCCGACTTTATGACCGGACTGCTCCTTCCTTCCTTCCTTCCTTCCTTCCTTCCTTCCTTCCTTCATCGTCCTTCCCAGTTTTTGGCGAAATCAGGCGCATGAGCTTCGCATTCAACATGTTGTCTCTTTCTGTTTGCTATCTGGTCGACTGCTACGTTTGGTTTGTGGATCTGGGTTGAATTTGCTACTTGCGTTGGGTTACAAGGGTCCAGCAGAGCCGATTCGAAGAGAGGTCCCAGAGGCATCCTTGACGCTCCCACCCCCACCCTTGGAGAAAGCCCCTTTTGGCGGAAGGCGCTGGCAGCTCATGTTAGTGAGAAGCGGATTGTGACAGTCATTTTGGAAGGAGTCGTCAGGAGCACGCGGGAATTGCAACTGCCAGTGATTGCATGTTGTTTTGGCTCAAGAGAGTTGGGCTCCAACCACGTGCATGTTGCACGAGAAATGCGCTATGCCTCTGTTCCACTTTCGGTGCTCTGCTATTCTAGGAACCCTACCCGAAGTCGGCAGCAGTTCTCCCCCGTTACATGGTTGTCTGCTTGTCTCCTGCTGTCGGTGTTAGGACCTTATTGTGGTGCATGCTGCTTGGGACGAAGCGACGGGGCCCTGGCACGTGGTTGTCTTGCAGCGTTCGGCATCCTTCTGCCCTCGGCCTTTGCCTACGCTTTTTGAGCCTTATAGGTCAGCGGAGAAGCTGAGAAGCTTCGATGGAAACGCGGCACGTCCCAAGTTTCAAGACCTTTTTCCCCTTCTACCAGCTGTTCTGAATTCGTAGCTTTCAGGAAGCTTTCCGTAGTCTTACAAGCGGAGGCCATTGGAGCCTATGATTTCTTCGACAAGCAGATTCAGGAGCCCTACAGACAGAGGCAGGCAGGCAGGCGGACGGACAGACGGGCGGACATATGTGTTAAGCAGTGTGCAGAAAGGGCGGCCCACCTGTCTGATGTCGTCCGCACTAGTGGCATCTGCAGGAAGCAATAGTGGCAGAGAGTATCACGGATCAAGATGAGATCGATATGCGCGAGCAGAATCTGAACCCCATCAAGGTCATGTCCTCCGGCTATGAAGGACCATCGAAGCTGCAGATCCCTGATCGGTTTGAAGCTTCATCCCCGCCGCAACCCGCACACCTGAGAACCCCGTAGCTTGCCCCGAAACCTGCGCCTGGAGCCGGAAGCCATAAAGCATAAAGTTCGGCCCCGAAGCTTCCTACTTGTGCAGCCCAAGCCGTTGAGACTGGAGCTTGAAGCTGAAGCTCTAATATGTGTAGGAAAGGCTGCCGAACCCTTCTTCGCGGGTGGCAAGATGCGGACTCTGGAGCGCCTGAGGTGAAGGGATGTTTGAACCCTCGAAGCCCGAAAAGCCTTCCAATCTCCTGCAGGTGGTGGGAATCTTACGAGGCAAAGGATGACAGGTCCCTGAGTCTGAGCTGGGAGGTGTTGTGCAGTTGAGGACTGCTGCGCTTCAAGATTAGCTGGAGGGTTCCAGTGCTGGCGTCCCGAAGGCTGGTGGTAATCGGGCACTACTGGCGCCGATTTCTGGACGAGGTGAGCCCTCAAGTCTCCGAGAAGTATCCGTGCCTCGATGCAAGCAGTTTTCAACGGAAGGCGAAAGCGGAAAGGCATGTCAGTGTCGGCTCTCTCGTATCAAGGAAAGGCTTTGCTCCGTCTGGTGCCGACTCACGGCTTCAAGCTTCGCATTGAGATGCACCGTGCAGCACTGGGCAATGCACGGGAACTTTCTCGTCTCGATTCAAAGTTTTCGAAAGGACATGTTTCCCGGCTACTCGCCGAATAGTTTGCTGGGGACAAAGAGGAAGGCAGGACCTGAAGAAGGACCTTGTGTCTTGTCTGTGTTCTCCAGTTGCATGGCTGCAGAGAGTCCGTGTACGGAAGCTGGCAGGTAATGTGCATCGACTTCTCTGTCGGAGTACGATACGAAGAGAGGGGCATGGGAAGCTCGTCTGCATTGGAGAGAGGCAAGCTTCAAATCTTGATTCTTTATGTTCAGCCGCTGGTGGCATCCTTCTACTTGCAGCGGTCTTCTCGGAGGTTTGCCGGAGGGCAGCTTGGGTACGGCGCTTACAGCACTGCGGCTCCCCGAGATGACACTGCACCGGAATGATGCCAAAGTTCTGTTGTGCGGGTGACCAAAGTGTCCCCCCTGGCAGATCGCTCGGCAAAGCCATGGCATGCAGCACTCACAGCCCAAAATCTTATGGGAATGGCAACGCGCACCCTTGCCTACCCGACAGATTCTGGGCCATTCAGGTCTGGCAAATGAGAGTCGCAATCCGGGCAGCTTGATCCGGACCAGGCGGGCGACGGTTGCGACAACGGCAAGGTCGAGCCCTCTTACGTTTGTGAATACCAGGGGAGGTGGCTGGCTCAGAGACTTCCCGCAGGAGACAGGGAGTCTTCTCCACACACATGCACAAGCAAAGAAGGGGAGAGGGCGAGAGAGAGAGGGGGGACCGCTGTGTCCTTTTCCCCGTCGAGAGAGAGAGAGCGAGAGAGTGTAGCTGTTTTGGCTCAAGTGCTGCACCTTTGCTTGGGGGTCTGTGACACCCCTTGCATCGGGGAGGGAGGTGGCTGGTTGACTAGGGGTGTACCCCCTGGAGAGCCTGCCCACTTAACTCCAGCGGTGCTTGAGTCATACGCCCGCCACATTTCTCATCAAGTAGCCCGTCTATGTAGTGCCTCCGCGTGCAGCCATAGACCTGTACGTCAAGTTTGCTGCCCTACGCGACCTTTCCTTCGGGGCTGCCCTCGGCGACTTCGGTGACTTCACTCCAGGAGGGCGACTGCAGCAGGAGTTCAACGTCGTGCCCTTTCACGCCTCTTTCCGAACCAACAGGGTGCGATTCCCTTGCTGCTCAACGGGTCGTAAACTTTGACCAGGTTGTGCAACGTGACACTTTCTCCTCGACACTGTGAGTAAAATCCTTGCCTACGTGGTTGGGGGAGGTTTTTCCCTTCTGTCGAGACACACAGGCCACCTCACTACTACTTCCGAGTCCTAAGGCAAAGCGAGCAGGAACTGGCTGACGATGATGCCGCAAGCCGTGCAGACAGGCTGGGGACAACTCGTGCGACGCAGAGGACCCGGGGGACAAAACAAATATGCCGGTGATCGTGAGTGAGTGAGCGAGGCAGTTTCTTTCAGAGGGAAACCCCGATACCTTTGCTTGCAAAGGCCCTTCTTAAGGGAAAAAAGGGCCAATGCTGTGAAGGGCTGTGCTGGTGTACATGTTTCTCTCCACTCTTTTCCATACGCCTTTTCGTTCCATCCGAGGAGTGTAGTGGCCGTAGGGGACACCCCCTTCAGCTCCAATTTTTAAGCCTTTTCTTTCTGACGGGCCTCTCCTTTCATCCAGGCAGTACTTTCATTCAAACTTATAGTCTTTCAAGCTTTCAAGCTTCTAGTCCGTGGTGCAACCGAAACCAGGGCAAAGCTCCACCTTTGCCACTAACCGGGGACATCTCTCGTCGTATTCATGCACTTAAGTTTGTTGTTCAATGTTCCCGATTGGAAGCCAGGGCTACTTTGAGAAGCCTTGTGGAGCGGTTTTGCCCTGCGTAACATACGGGGGCGCACTCGCGCGCGGGCTAGGGGTCTCCCCCTAGTCCGTTACCCTGGCGAAAGAAAGAAAGAGTGGAGCTGTGGGTTTGACCGCCCCCTATGCCCTGATGAAGAAGTGGAGCTGTGTCTGTTAAGCTTTCGAACTTGTTGAGGAGAGTTTTTGTTTCCGCAGTTACACAAGGTGTCAGCACAGAACTCACAGGTGTTGCAAGGGGGGATCGCGTGTGTGAACATTAAGGGTGCAGGCACACTGTGTGTTTCAGAGGGCGGTCTCCCCGGCCCTGTGCGGCCGAGCCTGACGAGGTAAAACCCCTGAAGAACACTTGAAAATTCTGCAGAGGACCGCAGGTGGGCACATGCGTGCGAGGGGGGGGGGCACCTTTTCTCTCTGGCCTGGTAGTGAGAGAGAGAGTTGTGGCTCAAGTCGACCTGCCTTGGAGAGGGGTGCTCAAAGACGGCCCCTCGAGTTGGCAGAGAGTGGCCTCTGCCTCCTCGGGGGGTGGACGACGGCAAGCAGACGCCAGCGAAGCGACCAAGAAGGAGAAGTGCACCTACGATGGAGGACCCCGCCAGGGAGGGGGATCCACCAACAAAGTTGGAGAGAACAAAAACCTGTTGCTTCCTTTGATACGTTTATTTCTGCTCTTTTGTTCGTTGAGCGTTTGTTCGTTTGTCGGTGCTGGGGGACATGTATTGTTTAATTCGAGCGTTTCTTGTGGGAACGAGCATTTCCTTGTAATTCGAGCGTTTCTGCCTCAGAACGGTGCTGCCGCGACCTGTCCATCAAAGGTACCATACCCCAAACATCCCAGACAATAAATCTATAGACTATATAGCTTCTGGGTTTGGATGCTGTAGGGCTGGTTAAGGTTATAATGGATATCCCCGCATATCTTGGGGCTGTAACACAAGACCTCCTTACGAATCCTAAACCCTAAGTTAACTTATTAATTTAACCCGAAGCCTACAGAAAGCTCAGGGCTCCCAGAGTTGCAGGCTGATCCCTGCAGTGTGCAGCACGCATGCATGTGCTATGATATCATTCGATGATCCGTGCTCCGCAATGGCGGTCCGTTGCCTTACGCATTGCCTCACTCGAGAAGGCACGCGAAAGCATCATGAGCATTCTGACTCGCAGCATGAGGTCGTCGTAGGGAGCCTTGGCTTGTCGGTTGGGGTGCTAGTAGCTTTGGGATTATACATGTGACTCGATTTGACCATCGCATAGTGTTGCCAGGCGGCTTTCTGGAACTGCTCAATCCTGGGCATGCTTCGGAGCCTGGCCAGGTGCGGGCCATCTCTCATTGTGTGTGCACCGGATGTCTTCTTGCACTGCACTTGATGGTTGGCACGATGTGCAACAAAACTTGGTATGTGTCGCTTTTTATCAAGCTGGTGCAGTGGAGCATGAGTGCGCATGTGTGTTCACGACGTTGCATAGAATCCTAACTGGCCGTGTGCTTTCGAAGCCATGGAAGAAACACCGGTGAAAGATGGAGCCTCCCAGCTCTCTCAGCTTTGGGAAGCTAATTCCACAGTGCGTCGTCGTGCAGCTACGTATGTCATGGCAGCTTCTACGCATGTATCGGTCCGAGATTCTGTGTCTCCTAGTATACTTTAAGATGATCCTGACACAAGCTCCCACGATCCAAGGTGAAGCTGCCTCCCAGTGGCCGGATTGATCGTGCCTGCATCGACCTCAATGAAGAGGTCCTGGAACCCATCATCCAAGAGTTGGGGACGCGAGTCGGGGTTGATGCACTCGAAGAGCACGTATTTTGCCTCTACAAGCTGATGAAACTTGCTCTTTCAGGTGCCTGGACATCACATGAGTGCATGGTATACACTAGCTTCTAGAGATAATCCAACATTGGATGCATTAAGGTCCTCAGGCATCTGCTCTTGCCTGGTCCTTGAAAAGGCTGGTTTCGGTCTTCAAGAGATCGATCGCCCGGCCCCACCGACCCAGGTCTGCCGTGATCAGAAAAATCATGACCAGTGCCGGGATTCCGGTGCCAGCCCGTGCCGCCGGTGATGATGATGATGAAAGTACTGACTATCACGAAGATGGTGATGAGGGAGAGGAAGAGGAGGAGATGGAGGAAGACCCTCCAATGGATATCGATCTGAGACCGGAAGATGTAGTGGCGGAGAAGGCACCCGATGCACCCCTCCTGAGCCTTGCACCCCCCTTGAAGAAAGCCAAAACGGAGTGTTTTGAGGAGGGCTCTGCAAAGGCTGGCGCCGGTGTGTTGGTGCCAGCGACTCCCAGTGATTCCGCCCGCGGGGCACGCAAGACAGCTCCAGTCCCCGAGCATCGGCCTCCCACGGAGCCCATCGTGGCCCCCACTGCTGTCACCACTGTTGTTGAAACTGCCACCAAAACTCATGGAACCCCCACCCCACCCCATGATGGTGGACGTGCTGCCCACAAAGATCGGATGAAGAGGTTGAAAGCCATTTTCGAGAGTGGCAAGAAAGCTAAGGATGAGGAAGCAGGTGCGTTCATTGCAGAGCTCATGCACACGTATATGTGTACGTATAAGTTATAAATTTAGATGTGCATGAGAACCCCGGAAGGAACAACGACTCCGTTGTCGGCTATTTCGACAGCACCATCCTCCACCGAAGGCCTAGCCCTCAACCCAAGGCCCTAAAAAGTAAACCCCCCCTCCCTCTCTCTCTCTCTCTTTCTCGGTCTCGTGCACCTTAAGTTAACCCTCTCAGCAGCGCAATCCTTCACCCCGGTCCTCAGGTCTCGCGAGGAGCTTCCACGTGATACTGAAGCTCAGTGGAGATGTTGCGGAGTGCCAGGCCTGTGGACTGACAGGTTCCATTGACATGTTCAACACGATGGAGTGTAGCGGGGCGCGTTTGAAGAAGATGCGGGAACTTGTGCCTAGCCTTGCATCTTATTCATGCATACAGACCAAAACCCTTATAAACCCTAAACGCTAAACCCCTTAACCATGAGATCGGTTATCCGCTGGCATTCCGAGCTGTCGTGTGCATGCATTAAGGAGAGGCTTCGGGAATTCCAGGAACAGTTGCTTGCCCAGAAGAGACAGCGACTCTATGAGAAGGAGAAGTTTAAAGTGCCTGAAATCCCCTCCAACTGCCGCTGTTCCTCTACTGCAATCATATCTCTATACACCCATAGGCTGCACATCCTTGACACTTAAACCTTGCCTGGCCCAACTGCTCATTGCTGAGGCACAGACAATCTGGAGACCCAGGTTTGGGATCAGGATTCGCAGCCTCCGTATGATCCGTTGTGCAAGGCTTTGTCTTTTGAAGGGGCAGAGGAGGGGACCGAGACTTCCAACCCCGCCCCGAAAGACACCATCCCCGATGCTCTCATCAGTGTGGGTAGCCCGACACGCAAAACCGCAGCTAGCAAGAAAGGCTTGAAGGACCAGGAGAAACATGAGGCCGACAAGGGCCAGGAGAAACCTGAGGCTTGCGACAAGGGCCAGGAGAAAGCTAAGGTGTGCGACAAGGGCCACAAGGAGAAAGCTCACCCTCCCAAGGAGAGCCTGAAGCCTGAGGCTGCTGAGGGATCGCTTCCGGCGAAGCCTGCATGCATGGATAAGATTCCTGCTTCCATGTCACCCGATGAGCAAGTCGGTCGCCCAGTGAAGGAAACGGCCGAAACCGACGAGGAGGAGCAGCAAGAGGGCTTCGAAGATGTCGAGATGGCTGAGGGCAGCGAAGGTGAGGGCGATGATGATGATGGAGAGCAGGATCTGGACGGGGAGGAAATGGAGGACGAGGAAGGGGAGGAGTCAGATGAGGATCATGAAATGCATGAAATGCCAGCGAAGCGGCCAGCAGGCAAAATCGCCACAAAGGCACCCAAGGCGAAGGCCAAGGCAAAAGGCAGAGGAAAAGGAAGGGGAGGAGCCAAAGGCACACCCAAGGCAAAGGCGAAGGCTAAGGGTAAGGCAAAAGCGAAGGCGAAGGCAAAGAGCTCCTCAAAGAAGGCACCCAAAGGGACCACTGAGGATGAGATGAAAAAGCTCAAGAGCAGAAAGTCCGTGGCGTACCACAAGGCCCGAGCGGAGGCCCTGGCTGCAGGTATGTCGGCTGAGGAAGCATCGGAGATCGCCAAGGAGGCTACTTGATGTGAACCTATAGATTATAATTTGCCCCTAGGCCCAAGCTCCAAGATCCCAAAACCACTGTAAGGGTCTCTGGTTTATAATTATCGATAGATAGTTCGGTTATCGAGGTCTATAATATTTTAATTATAATATTTCTTTCTCTAAGGAGCAGCAATTTTTAAGTATATACCCTAAACCCTAGGCCTACAAACCCTAAACCCTATAAACCCTAAACCCTAAACCCTAAACCCTAGGCCCTAAACCCTAAACCCTAAACCCCAAAAAAGCCAGCATGTCGCTCTGAGGCGTATCGCTCCACGAACTAGCTGCTTGACATTTTGCCAAGCACAAGCCAGCAAGTTTTGATGATTCTGCTGGAAGGGTTGGGGCCCTGAAAGACACGCAGTATGCTGCGCAGTGATTAGATCTTGTTCGCTGCCGACCCTGGCACTCTTATGCTGCCGGGCTAGTGTGATGCATACTGTGCATAGTCGACACCAGGCTTTTAAAGTGCTTTGACGACACTACACTTTCGAGTCCTTCGAGACCGGGGTTGTCTCGAGCATCGGAGCATCGATCTGTCATGAGAACAGCAAGAAAATACTGTCTGCTGCTTTGCTATGTTCCTCATGTGCATGATGGCTAGCACTGACTGCAGCGACTTGCTCTAGCTCAATTCTGTTGTGCTGTTTTGGGGAGTTCGCGCAGGTCTCGATGCTGATCTATGGAGAGGTGGGCCTGCCGATCGATATCCAAGGGCACTGCTGTCTAGTTTTCTGAAACGTGTTTCGCTTATGGTGCTTGCACTGATCACTTGAGTGTGCACATGAGCTTTGTCCGGTAAGACTGGGCTTCAGAGTGCATGCTGTGCAGAGCTATTCAGCCATGCCGGTGCCACGATGGGAGTCTCTGGTCCCAAGTCTGGTGCAACTACAGGCACCCAAGGTGCACCATGCACTACATATTGAGTGTTCTGCATACTGTGTCTAGCATGCATTCCCCCTGTGCAGACACATGCATATATATGCCCAAGGTCTTGATTGGATGTGTGTGCCGGCTGCACTAGTACACTGGCCGTTGCAAAGTTTGATGTGCACACTGCTACACGTACATCATTGAAACCACGCCCATCGCGTGCCTCCAGGTGCTTCTGTTGACATGGACCCAGAACGTCGACCTGCGGATGCAGGTGGAGATGTTTGAGCTGTTCTGTGGTGATGCGAGGGTGAGCCAAGTCTTCAGGGAAGCTGGTGTTTCAACCGTATCCTACGATGTGCAGTTCTCTCCAATGGGGAGATCCATGGACTTTCTTTCAGCAGGAGGCTTTGCGTCAAGGGCTGAGTTCCATTTACGTTTTCACCGGATCACGTGTATAACGTACTGCTGTTAACTGATCAGTCACGAGTAATCTTAGGTTGGCGATGGCATGTGTTTTACGACAAAGCCCCAACGCCATGAATGTATTGGCCCCGACTTGCTCGAGTTGGACCCAGATATCCCGTGGAACCTCATTGCGATCTCCTATAAATCCGGGGGGTCGAGCTGCTCTGGACTTTGTTAGAGATGGCACGATGACGGTTTCAAGGCAGGGCGGTTTAGGGTTTAGGGTTTTGGGGTTTAGGGCTTTGGGGTTTAGGGTTTAGGGATTAGTAACTCGATCAAATAAGAAAACCCTTCCAGGATGGTGCTCCTGTTGCTCCTCATTGTGGCCGTGCACGCAGTGTTCTTGATAGAACAACCCAGAGGCTCAGATGATGTCTTTCCCTACCACGAGCGGTTTTCTTGGTTCGTGAACAAAATCTGCTATGTGCCTCGTGCTGATCGTCTTAAGACCCTTAAATTATTGCAACCCCAATCCTCAACCCTATCTCTTAAGATTGGTATAGATCGGTTATAATTTAAACCAGAAGCCCTAGCCGTTTCCTACTCCCTGAACCGGTACTATCCTATGCAACGACAATCCAAACAATTAATCCTGTGTACTATATTTTCCGCATCATAGCACAAGGGCGGGAAAACTATCATAATATAATATAACAATTGGTATAGCTGTAGATTATATATTATAAATCATAATTATAATTCTATGGCATACATGGGGGGAACAGGAGGGTTGGGGGGGGTCCCCAATAGGATCCATACAGGCCAGTTGATCATTCGCGCCGAAGCGACCGCAGAGCCTCTATCGCTCATTTCTGTGTGCTGACTCTGAGAGTGATTGCGATGTCGATGTTGAAGTCGACTGCGAAATGGGGGGTGTGTCAACAGTGTCCGCCCACAGTCACTTTGGGTCCGGTGCAGTCACCCCAGATTCGGTCCAGTGAAGATGCATGAGCAGTGCGTGGACTGCAAATGCCACATGCACGCACAGTGCTGGTGTCATCATGTCAAAGAATTAACCAGTGCCGTTAATCTACATTGCATGATTGGCTGGAACCATTTTTGTACTCGAGCCATATAACCCAATATCATATATGTGTTTTCCCACACGGTCTGTATACATATCGCACTAACTACCACTTGATACTACTGTGTCCTACTAGGGTCCATGATTAAAATTCTCCCGGTGTTGGGGGTTTCCTCCCGACTCCTGCTTGTAACACAACTTATATAATTAATAGATATATTTCCATTACCCCTGTAGTGCATGACCACACCTACTTTAAACACTACTCCTACTACCTGGGGCTGTGATCGCCAGGGGGAACATGTTTAGGTCTTCTAGGGTTTATGATGCGAGGGTTTGGGACTTAAGTCAAGTGTGTAGGGGTTTATAGGTTCTGTGAATTTCAACAACTAAAGATGCGCAGGCCTGGTCTGTAGTCCTACCGACCTTATACACCCTAAGCCCTACACCCTAGGCCTTAACCTATAACCAACACGGCCGAAGCCCTTCCTCACAGGCCTGATCATCAATGGCCAAGATTCCACCCTGCAGTGCATGGGATTCATAGGGGCGTTGGTTTGCATTCCCCAAAATCCAGCAGAGCATCACAATCCCTACGAAACAGAACCCTCCCCAACACACAAAACCCTTCTAGTCCCCAAACAACAATAGCAATCTCTTGTCCTAGCAGCAAAGAAGCCGTGTGCTGCCCAGGTATTTCGCGACACTTTCTATCTGCAGCACTATGGTGCCCCGACCCCGAAGCCGACCATCGTATGGACGAATGCAAAATCCTTTGCTGTTGGATTTGTCTCGAACTGAGTTTATACAAACCTGCATTGATCATGCCCAAGCCTATATTTTAAATTCTGCAATGCAAGCCCAGGACGCTGGCCCATTATGCCGTGCAACGAAACCGAGCCAGTTCTCAACAGCCCGTCCGAATCCTACCAGGGTATACATTACGGCCCGTAATATTCCCATTCCCGTGATGCAAGGCCACTTCGTGGACAAGCACGGTGTGAAGCGCTTCACTGGCTACAAGAAGGAGCTTCGGGCAAGCGGGTGGGGCTCCTGGCTAGTCGTTTCTACTTCCGCTTGTGCTGCTTCTGCCACTGATGCCACTACTAGCCATATTACCCGCCCCAAACCCGCCCTATGATCCTAAAGTTGAAACTTTAAAACCCAAAGCAACAGAAACAAAACACACAACCACGTATACATAAAAGTCCCCCACCCCCGCAACAGCAAGAAACATTATAACTGCAATCGCATCCACAACGACCGCAACCACAACAACAACATGGGCTATAAACCTCTAGTCCTTATTAGTGTAGTAGTGCAGTAGTAGCTGTAGCAGCAGCAGTAGTAGTAGTAGTAGTAGTTGTTGTAGTGGTAGTAGTAGTAGTAGTAGTAGTAGTAGTCGTGGTGGTGGTGGTGGTGGTGGTAGTAGTAGTAGTAGTAGTTGTTGTTGTGGCAGCAGTAGCACTCGTGGTGGCAGGAGGAGGAGCAGGAGCACGTGTTGTTGCTGCTCGTGTGCCTCGAGAGTGCAGAATCTCTGCATGAGCCTCTCCTAGTGGTGATGGTGATGGTGACGATATTGTTGTGGAGGTAATTTGGCATACAATATCATTTCTTGTGGGTCCTCTCACCCACTGCGGCAACTGCACGTCAAGCTGAAGTCAAGTCTGTGATTACCCAGCGATATGGCAACGACGAGCTCGATTGATAGCCGGCCAGCCGCCGACATGCATACAGATGCAGCTCGCATTATGGCAAAGTAATGTGTCACCTGCGTTGTCTTGGACCTCAATGTGTGACGTGCTTGCTTGAGATCGTCAGGAACGGCGCAAGGAGAAGGAGAAGGAACGCAGAAAGGAGAAAGAGAAGGAGAAGGAAAGAGAAAAAGACAAAGACAAGGCCCCAGCCACTGATTGGTTGCTCTATTAATGGAGAGGTGCATGCCGGTTTGGATTCCGGGGCCATTAATTAGTGAGGCGTCAGACACGGGAGCAGCAGCTAGCTAAAGGAGAACGATGGAGAAAGTAGACAGTCTTGTTGTTTGAGACAGTATTTTGGACAGTTACCCAGTTAGACCCTACATGCTGCAGGCGAGTGAAGCAAATACGCACAACCCGAAAATCCGCATCCCTCACAGCCAAACCGAACTTAACGTAAGAGGCCAAGAAAGAGAAGGCACGAAAGACGAAAGCCAAAAAGAAGCGCGAGGAGGACCTTTGATATACTTCGGGTCTATAGGGAACCCGGAGATAAGATAAGATATAAGCCAGATGCTGGTAAGGTATTAAGCCAACACTCTAACTCTAAGCCATATGGCTGCACGGCGCAGGACTTGGAGTGTAAAGGGCTTCATGCAACTTGTGTTGGGGTCTACTTGCTGCGATAGTGAGTTGAATCGAACCTAGGGTTCATAGGGTTCAGCAAAGCCCGTCTCCCCAATCTCAGAAGGCAAACCGAAGCCCCAGGCTCTTGTCTGCGAGAATCAATGTTCCAAGCCAGGGATGCAAACGAATCGACGACCTAAACAATCCACATCAGGGGTTTCCACGACTTGGTGGTGTTGCCTATGGTGATCCAGATGCGAAACCCCATCTTTGTTACAGCTACTGCTGTC